AATCATTTTCAATGAAAATAGAAAGAAACAAACGTGTAAAGAAGAAATATTAAAAATTAAACTGTAAAACGTAATGTAAAAACTTCGACAAAGAAACATTGTTATCAATTCAATTGTACATTATTTAAGATTTATTATGGTTTTTAATAGTTTGCAAGAAAACTCTGAATGAATACATAAAAAAGTCCTGTATTCATTCTCAAAACTGTTCGTTTCAATATTAATCAAAACTATACATTTTAAATTTAAATTAATTAACCAGTTTCTGCAAATACCAAACCAAATTCCAATTCATTTCATTTCGATTGATTATCTAATTTTATTTTGTTTCTTTATTCAATTGAAAGTTTATAGTCATGTTCACATTTCGTGCATAATAAATTCATTTTTTTTTTCTACAAAGATTTCTCAAATTTATAAGTAATTTTAATATTTATAAATTTAAAAAGACATGATAATGGAATGTCATGTTTGTTTTTGTCGTGTTGTTTCAACTTATTAACATCTATTTGTTATACTGTATGAGTTTAAATGAGTTAAGTGAGTTTCGTTCTTCAAATATAATGATTTTAAAGTTTACTGTTTCTAATGTGTAGATTTTTCAATTTGTCAAAGAAGTTTACTGTTTCTAATGTGTAGATTTGTCTTCTACTAACTTTTATCTATATAAATGTTTGATATATTTACATTAAATTTTATGTTTTCTTTTAAAAAAATGTACGTTTTAAAAAGAAAACTTTAATTTTAAAGGTTTTCATTTGGAAATTAATTTGTAGATTTTTCATTTTGTAACTGATTTTCAAAATTTTATTAAAAAAAAACATATAGAAACGTTTATATAAATTAATTTTAATTATAGAGAACAAAAAACAAAATTAAATATTTATTAAAACTAAAAAACATTAAATTTTAATTGTAACTAATAAAAAAAATGAAAGGTATAAAATTCAAAATAATAACTTTTTTTCCATTAATAAATCTAATTATAAAATGAGAAAATTTGATTTTTTTTTATTGCACAAAGTTTTTTTCCTTGAAAAATTACGAATTTCTGTATAAAGAATGCAACAAATTTCCGCTCTCGACAAAGAGAAAGGCATATTTTTTTTTCTTTCCTCTTTAAATGTTAAAGCAAGCAGCAAAAAAAATGTAACGTGAATGAATGAATGACTAATTGCAAGCACTTAAGTTCGCTTTGATCGTACCAAATTTGTAAAATATTTAATTACATTTGAATAAGAAAGAAAAAGTACAGTTAAATGTAGAATACAGTACAAAATTTCCGAATTTGAAACTTCACAACATATTTGAAAATACACAAGTTTCCCGCAATTCGGGACTTCTCTTCTCATCTTCACTCGTTATGCGAAACGTTGCTCGTTAAGCGAGACATTTTTGTTCGTTAAGCGAGGTTCCACTGTATTTTAGATCGTAGAATAGTTGTGTTATGCAACGAGTGAATTATTTGCACGATTTCGGTTTATTATGTAATTGCGAATATTATTCAACTTCATATACTAATTTACTTGTTATTCGTTTTTTTTTATAGAAAAATAATCAAAATTTTATAATTTGTTCTGAGAAATTTGTAGACTGTTTTCTTTACTTTTAAGTTTATTGAAAAATTATTATTTCTCTATTAAATATGCAATATTCATTAAAAAAATATTGACTATGAAAACGTACTTTTCTCTTGATATTATGTAGAAATTAATGTTATCAAATATTGTTTTTTATTTATAGGAAAAATAATCAAAATTTTACAATTTTTCTAAGAAATTCGAAGATTCTTTTAACTACATATGACTTTTTTTATATATAATTCGTTATATTTGATGAAATATTTATTAAATCTAATAGAATTCGAAATATATTTGTGTATGAACATTTTGTTCCCATGAATAAATGGGTAAATATTACATGTTTATCAGGAAAATAAATACATAAAGGACCTTTTTGTATTTGGAGCGATTATCGAACCCTGCTGAGTTCCATTCTAGGGGGAATTCCTTGTTTACTTAAACGAACTTGTTTACTGCAGTTTCCTAAATGTATTTACGGGCTAAAGAACATGTTTGGTTTCAATGAAAAATAGAAGATTCATTAATTATCTGCGTATTCTCATTTTATTGAATATTTTTTATTTGTTACAAAACAACATTTTTTTATATAAATTCTTCTATTTTATTGAACTGTTAAAAAAAGTACTTAACGCATTGGAAAAACATATGATTTTTGAAAAGTAATTTACTAAAATTTCGAGTGATTTGAGAGAAATCTTGCATTAATTATAATAATTTTAAAAAAATATGTGATTTATCAAAACTTATTCATGTTTTTATCAAGATTTTAAGTTTGTAAATAAACAATAATATGAAAAGATTTAATAAGATGCAAAAATTTCAATTGATTTACAAAAATTGATTCTTTGTAATAATGTAAATGAATGTAAAAAAATGCATTGGATTTGGTTGAAAGAAATGTATGATTTTATGAAAACTTATTAATTTCCTCAACTATAATTAAACTTTCATGATTTATCTGTAAAATTCAAGTGAATTAAAACATATTTAATAAATTGGAAAGAAGTTGTTAATATGTATAAAAATAAATTATTTCTTCAATATTTGTATAGAAAAAAAATTTAATTTATTTTAGAATGAACGAAAACCATAAATAATTACTTGTTAAATTGTGATAATGATTTGAGAAAACTTTCATTTAATTTCAATTGATTTACAAAACTTTTCAATGATTCTTTGTAAAAATGTAAATGATTCTAAAAAAAATTATTCGAATTTATTGAAAAAATGTATGATTTTATGAAAACTTATTAATTTCCTTAACTATAATTAAACTTTTATGATTTCTTTGTAAAATTCAAGTGAATTAAAAAATGTTTTAATAAATTGGAAAAAAAATCGTAACAGTCTGTTTTAATAACAAAACTCTTATGCAATAAGGAAACTTTCATTTATCGATTTGTGATGGATTTTTTTCTTCAATAATCGCTCAATTGAAACAGATAATTAAACATTGTCTCAAGTCAAGGATATCAATTGATTTTCATTTAAATTGCATTTCTTTACATTCATTATTTTTTTACTCTAGTTATACTTTTGTTGTTGATTGCATAACTTTATGAATACAAAAAAAAATCTTCTAATTTTTTCTTATATTTTTGTCCATTATTTTTTCTCGTGTCTTCCACTTCAAATCCAATTATGTCAAGTGTAATGTTAAACGAAAAGTTCTTCTGCTCGTGGCTTTCTTGACATCAAAATCGATTTCATCTCAATGCCAAAAGTTATAATTGATTTTTTTTTCTATATTTTTTATGAATTTATTAGTTTCTGAATACATTTTTTCATAATATTTTTCAATTAATTATTAAGTTTAAGTTATGTTTTCATTATCGATTTCTTTTTAAACCTCGAATTTATTAGATTCTGTTTATATTATTTTAAGAGAAAATGTTCATGAAATTATTTTGTCCTTAATTATTTCATTCAATAATAATTTCTATCAAGTAATTGATAGAAAAATGTTTATGTTTATATTTTTTTTGTCATTTACTTAAGTAACGTAAATGTGATTTATTCAGTTAAACTAAATGAAATTACAAGTACAAATAAAGTGTATATTTAGTTATGATGTAATTTTATGAATGGTCGTGAATTATCTTAGGAAACGGAAGTAAATGTTTTCGTTCAAATATTTGATAAAAACGTAAATAAGATTAACGTTATTATATATTGAAACTTTCCAATAAACAAAATCATTGTAAAACGTTGATAAATTGCGTGTTTTTTCTGGAAAATCTACACATAAACCAGTTAAAAATAAACGTACAAACCAGAATTATTTTCAGCAATAATTTTAGCAATTGAAAACAAGTTGAAGAAAAAAGTTAGGTTAGGTTAATTTAGGTTATGATTTAACAAATCTTATATATTCTTAAGTAATATATCAATATTATTAAATTAAATGTAAATTAATTATGATTCATAATTAGAAAGTATTTCTTTTAATTGCGTGAAATCAATTAGTAAATAAGCGTTGTTGAAACAACAAAAAAAAACAAATGGTGAGAACCAATCGAAAGTCGTTACGTTACGAAGGAAATGGAAAAAAAAATGAACACCGAAAGAGAAATAAAAAACGTACACACACCTGCGTTTTATAATTGGAATTCAAATTTCAAAATCGTATTATTAAGAATGAATGAACGAAAAAAAAAGTGATTGAAATATCACGCTTGAGGTGGCGTAACAAGAACGAAAAGAAAAAAAATACAGTAAGAAAAATGAAATGCGTAATTTGTTTCGAACGTATAACGTTTCTTCGGATTTTTCTTGTTCTTCTGGTGATCTATTTTTTGTTGTTGTTATTATTCTTGACAGTTCACCGCAAGATCGCGTGTTGCGCCATCTATGATTACGGATCGGTTTACCATTTGTAGCTGTTGGTGTATACCTTCCCTTGTTTTTAACCGGCGGCGGTTACGTAATCAAAGCACACACCATTATTTTTCTTCGTCGTTTCTCGAGGAGTTCTGTTTTCTTTAGCTGCAACCGATTATTACATGCTAATCGATCGCCATCGGCCGAGAAATGTCACTATCATTACTAGTTCTCTTTCAATCTCTCCATAATCACCTGATTCCTTCCATTTCGAATCCGAAGGCCGCGGCAAATGCAATTTACTTATTCCAATTGCGGGCTGGAATTACATATCCCGAAAGAATAATTAAAAAGAGAAAACAAAAAGAAATTGGTACGTTTCGATTCCGGCTTCGCGGATTCTTCGTCGAAACGGAATCCGAGAGGTCATCGGATGATGAGATGAAGAGAAACGATCGAATGAGGAATGCAATTAGTCGCGGAGTTCGCAGAAGTGACGCAATTATCCCGCTGATTGGATTCCCGTTTTTCGAGCAAAACGTTTGTTTTTTCCGATTTTTTATGTGTTCTTTTCTGTTGTTGTTGTTGATTATATAGGTTGGAGCTTACTGTTACGCGGAATTGGGAACTATGATCAGGAAGAGCGGAGCTGATTACGCTTACATCATGGAGACTTTCGGGCCTTTCTGGGCTTTCGTCAGGTTGTGGATCGAGTGCATGATCGTGAGGCCGTGCTCTCAAGCTATTGTCGCTTTGACCTTCAGCGTTTACGTGATGAAGCCCTTCTTCCCCGAATGCCAACCTCCGGATGAAGCTGCCAGGATGCTCGCCATTTGCTGCATATGTAAGTTCATCATCATACATTAACATCAAGTTTGACCGAAAATTTCAGATAATTGACAATAGTTACAAAAATCACAGATTATACTTTAGAAAGCCTAAATATTTAGCTTATTTTTGCGTGCTTATTCATAATTGTTACTGTTATAGTTATTGAGAAAATTGAAGATTTGTGAAGAGACTTGAGGCTTAAAAAACGTTTTTCAATTTTGACCCTAAATTTGCTTGCCTTTAGATAATTGGGTTGTGTATAGTTATTGAGATAATTGATGATTTGTGAAAACGTTTTTTTTTTCAATTTTGACAGTAAACTACAGGAAATCAGCAATAGTTACAAGTTTGAAAACCTTTTGTTTTTCAACTAATAAACCTGTATTTTTTGTGAGAGTAGACTTAAAATATAAAAATTAATGAATTATTTAAATTATTTACTTAAATTTTGATACAAAATCATGTCAGTTTTTAATATTTTCATTTCTAAGTGAATTAGTTCCAAGGTTTTGGTTTAGGAAGGTTTTTAGTTAATTTACAAAATCCACAGAATGTTCAAAGACGTCTAGCTTATTTCTTTTATTAGCTTCTAAAAGTGAAATCATCAAGTTTTTTGGACAAATATTATCAAGATCTGTAAATCTATGAAAAAATCAAATCATGATTCTTCAAGAACATGAATATGTGAGTTTCTTATATTTCTGAAAAGAAAATAATCCGTTTAAGCAATATAAAATATGCTGTAAAAATCCTTTTTTCTCTATTTTTCTTTTGGTGAAAATTTGAAAACTGGTTTTGTAGAAAACTTGAGATTTGAAAACTGTTTTTCTTAAACGGTTTATCACGTTGGAAAGCCCAAACATTTGACTTTAATTTGCGCGCTCTTTAATAATTGTGCCGAGTATAGTCATTGAGAAAATTGATGATTTGTGAAAACTCGATTTTTCTTTGGCTTAAAAACGTTATTTTCAACAGTTACAAATATGACAAAAAGCATGTTGGCAAACGCAAACATTTAGCTTTCTTTTAATAAAATTGATGATTTGTGAAAACTCTAGATTTCTATGGGATTAGTTAACTTTGATTGATGATTTATGCATAATGCAAATTAATGGAAAGTTGAGGTAAATGTCCGAAATTCAATATTCTTTTTTTTAGATAATTAAAACCTAAATTTTAAACCAAAAACTAAAACTATAAAGACTTAAAAAACGTTTTTTTTTTTCAAATTTGATCGTAATTTGCAATAGTTACAAATATGACAAAAAGCACGTTGGAAAGCCCAAATAATTAGCTTTAATTTGAGAAAATTTTGATTATTTGTGAAAACACAAGATTTCTATGGAATTTCTAATATATATTAGATTTATATAAGATTTCTGAACTTTGCTATAGAACTTTATAGTTAACTTTGTTTGACCATTTATACATAATGCAAATTAATGTGTAAATTTTGGAAATTTCTATTTTTTTAATAAATTAAAACTTACCAAAAACTAAAACTTTAAAGGCTTAAAACACGTTTTTTTTTCAAATTTGATCGTAAATTACAGGAAATCGGCAATAGTTACAAATATGACAAAAAGCACGTTGAAAAGCCCAACAAAATTAGATTTAATTTGAGAAAATTTTGATTATTTGTGAAAAAACAAGATTTCTATGGAATTTCTAATATATATTAGATTCATATAAGATTTCTGAACTTTGCTAAAGAACTTTATAGTTAACTTTGTTTGACCATTTATACATAATGCAAATTAATTTCGTATTTTTGTTTATAAATTAAAACTTAAATTTTAAACTAAAAACTAAAAACTTTCATAATTTCTAATATTACTTAATGAAAATTGATGGAAAATCAGCTTTTGATAATCCTATTTCCAATATAATCAAACTTCCAATAATCCAATAACAAATTCACATTAGAAACACAATTCGCTGAAACAAGAAGTTCGATAACCAATTACTAGGACACGTTCCGACCCACATTCACTCTTTGAATGTTAGTTTTTTTTTTATTTTGCTGCAAAACTTGATTTAATAGAATCGCCAATGTCCACTTACCAAACACGCAGAAACTTCTTCATCCAAAGTATAAAATACTGTGTGTGTGTATCTCCTTTTTTGAGTCGTACACTTCTTCATCTTTACGCAACATGACGGATCGAAGGTGACCATTTAGTTGCATTCCATAAACCCAACCCGAAAGGAAGAAACCGATGATTAGAGAAAAGATAATTACATAATGCGCATATTGTGGTTATGGATAATAGTTCTACAAGAATGGTCACGATTAACATTACACTATTATTATAATTTTATTGAAATTCTTCTAGTTGTTAAAGTTACAGAAAATATTGAATTTTCACAATATTTTTTTAATTAAAAACTGTATAATTATACTAAAAACGTGTATATTCTACAGGTTTTTGAACATTTCTTTAAAAATATTTCATTTAAAAATATTTAATTTAAAAATAATTGGAATATTTGGTGATTTAGCACTGTTTCCATGGCTTCATTTAAGTAATTTAATTTATTGATTTTATCTAATTAAGATTATTTCAATCAGAAGTAACGATTTTCAATATTTACTTGGATTTATTCAATTAAGTAATTTTACTAAATAAAATCAATTCAGATTGTTTCAATCAAAACTAACAAAACTGTGATTTATTTTTTGGCTTCAGTTGTTAAATTGATATATAGGAAAAGGCTTTTATCGAAGCAGGCCGCAAATCCTTCTTATTCCTCTTAATAACTCCTTGGAGAAATCACAGAGAAAATCCTCTCTTCTGCTAATTGCGGATGAACGCATCAAACTTTTTTTTGTTGTTAAAAAATACACAACTCCATTCTATTCTCATTTACTAAATGCGACGTTCTGTTTTATAGCACCAGATAATGAAAAATGCATGGCAGAATGAATAATTTGTTTACCACTTCTATATTATTTTTTTATGGTACTACGAAAATAGTATCGATATTATGCAATATGCGTAATGTATACACACACAACATTATGATGGATTGTTTCAGTAATAATAGCAAAAATCTTTTAACGTTTAAATGTATAACAAAAATCAATTATGTAATTGTTGAATTACTAATCAATTTGATGAATTAATTATTAATTACCTGTTGCATTAATAAATCAGTATTAATTAATTGTTCAATTCGTAATTAATATGTTACAGATTTTTTTTTTCTTAAAACTAAGTCAAACTAAGACAGCTGATAAAACAATTGAAAGAACGTTTTGACGTAACTACGACGCTGTTGTTGTTGTTGTTATATAATGGTTTCCATGGTGATTTCGATGAGTGAACATAGAAGACCTGATGCACGATGACCTTGAAAGCATTGATTAACTGCATTGCCTGATGATATTAAACCAATATTAAATCATAAATATTTTATTGTTTATTCACTTCAAAATCACTCTCAAAGTTGTTCATTATGTAATTATTATTTTCTCTTCAAATTTCTAATATTTCAATTCATAATTATTCCTCTTAACTATTATTGAAGAGGAAGATCATCACCTGATCATCAGTACTTAATTAACTAGAAATGTTTTGTAATCAAAATAACAATAAGTATGACTTTGGTACAATAAAATTTGCATACGTTTTCTTCAAATTTATTCATTGAATAATATTGTGTTTTTTTTTTGCATGTGATAAATATTTAATTCAGAATTTACTTCTACTTCGACAAAAATAAAAAAAAAGTTGTTGTTTCATAAAAGCAAGAAAAATCGCTGACAATTGACGTGTAATCAATGAAGAAACGAACGGAAAACTACGCAAAACAGAATATATTTCCTATCGCGCGTTTGTAAACTGTTGATAGTTGTTTGTCTGATCATCCTTTTATTTCCTATTGGATCCCGTTCCTTCGCAATTCCTGCAACGTAATCTAATAAATAAATAAAGCGACAAAGTGAATTACGTTTCGCTATTTGTAAGATTTCCCATCGCTTCCTTCGATTTACAGCGCATGTTCTATGCAATTCAGACGTACCGGTACGTCCGATATCCGCGCGATACATGTAATTTAATTGCGCGCAGTATACGATCCAATCTTGCTTTCCGTGGAGGATGAAGAGTGAACCGTCAGCATTTTTTTTAAATTTATGTGTGTGTGTTTGTTATTTGAACGTATTTCGCATGTTGGAATGTAATCCTCTTTAGGCGATGTCTGTTGACATGCGTTTTGAACCTGTTGCAATTTTATATGATGGACGTTAAATCCTTGTCAAGTTGATACATTTTAGAGATTTAGTAGAAGTTATTTTTTCGCTTTTTATTTAAACATTTTTTAATTATGTAATCTTGAATATCCAAATAATACAACAAGTATACATTAGTATCTTCATAAATTATTAACAAATTTTAGTGAATTATTAATCCTGAATCTTCATAGATTAATATGGGTGTAAACTCATATCTTCAGTTGCTATAATACATTAGTAAACTAATAACAAACTAATGTATTGATTCTTGAAAAATTTACAAATTAAGCTGAACAAATTTACTTATTTTCAGGTATTTTGACGTTTGTTAACTGTTACGACGTCAAATGGGCAACGAGAGTACAAGACGTCTTCACCTACGCAAAACTACTTGCATTGTTCATCGTCATCGGAGCCGGAATCTACCAATTGATGAACGGCCACGTGGAACACTTCTCCTTCATCAACACAAAAACTGAAGTAACATCGCTAGCTTTATCCTTCTACTCGGGATTATTCGCCTACAATGGATGGTATAATCACCAAGAATTAATCATAGATAATTAGATTAAATTATTTTCTTTAATTTTCAGGAATTACCTCAATTTCATCATTGAAGAGCTCAAGGATCCGGTTAGGTATGTGTAAATCGCTTTAGGTCTTTGATTTTTTTATTAATTCGTTTGATCTAATCTTTAGGAATTTACCTTTGGCTATTGCCATTTCTTGCACTTTGGTGACCATAGTTTACGTCCTCACAAACGTAGCCTTTTACACGACTTTATCACCTGCTGAAGTTCTCGGATCCGAGGCTGTGGCGGTGTCTTTCGCTAACAGATTGTTCGGACCTTTGGCATGGACAATCCCCGTTTTCGTGGCTTTATCGACGTTCGGAGCTGTCAACGGTATCTTGTTAACTTCGTCTCGTCTCTTCTACGCCGGAGCCTGTCACGGTCAGATGCCCGAAATCTTAACTATGATCCAATCCAAGAAGTTGACACCAACGCCTGCTGTCTTAGCTATGGCTTTACTCTCCATGTTATACTTGACATCATCGAACATCTTTGCTCTCATCAATTACGTCGGTTTTGCCACTTGGGTTCGTTTCTATATACTAAATCATGAAATTCATTAACGTAATAATCTTTGTTTTTAGTTGAGTATTGGAGCGTCAGTGCTTTGTTTACCTTGGTTGCGATGGAAACAACCGAACTTGGAGAGACCTATCAAAGTGAACCTGATCTGGCCTATCCTCTATCTCCTAGCAACGATCTTCGTAACGGCTGTACCCATGATCGCGAGTCCCGTGGAAACGGGCATCGGTATCCTGATGATCCTCACCTCGGTTCCCGTGTACATGGTCTTCATCATGTGGAAATCGAAGCCTCGATGGTTCACAAAGTGCACGGGATGCATCACGGAACTTCTGCAGAAGGTCTTCGTCGTCGTGGGAAAATCGAAGTCGGCTCAGCTGTAAACAAGCGAAGCACAACCAAAACAAAACAAGAAAAAACAGACGACCGGGAAACGCGCTCACAATGTTGTTGTACATTCCGTAATTTATTTATGTAATATTTTCCTCCCTCTCCCCCTCAGTTTACGTTCCGTTACGTGTTATTATTTTAAAAAAAAAAACAACTTTTTTTTTTCTATTTCGTACTTTTTTTTCTACACTTGTTATTTATTGCCTCTCTCGTTAGTTAGTGTTTGGAAGAAAGGTGGATGGATGAAAGCGGTATTATGAAACGAAAGAAATATAAGGAGCACCACGTTTGGTGGTAGAAAAGCTGTCATCGGACAAGATGCTTCCAAAAAACTGGGAATGGCTGCAGTTTTTTCGAAACATATCATCATCATCAACATCATCACAAATGGATACTGTTTTATTTATTTTGGTTTGTTTTCCGTTGCGATCGATTGGGAAGTGTTGTCTGGTGATCGACAAGGAGAAAGATGTGTTTTTATAGGAACCAAAAAGGATAATTATTATTATTAATACAGGAATTTAAAAAAAATATGCGATACTGCCCTGCCTCCGCCGCGTGACCACTCAGAACGAATATTTTTTATAAAAATGTTTGTAGTGAATCTTTTTTTTAGATGCTTTTTCGCCACCAAAAGAAAACGTGCTCGGCTACAGATCGACAATAATATATCATGTTTGTACGCCTGTAACAGAAGTAATTAAATAAATAAATATTGAGAGAAAAACAATTTTTGTTCGTTTTTTTTAATATCTCTTCATAAGTCAATATACCTATGATGTAATTCATTTTGTTTAAAAGAAAAAGAGTCATTAGCATACATCCAACATATGTTTATGTGTAAAGTAACAAAAGGGAGATATTTCATGATTTTGCTACTTAAAAATATGTTTTTGTTTAACCCCTTCATTGCTTATGTCGTATATAATCGTCATGGTCTTTTGTATTGACGAATATATTCGCATCATGAATAATAAAATACGCTAGCAACAAAAGTAAATTCGTATTTTCTTACATAATACCAACCTCCAAAAACTTAAGAAAAAATTTACTTTCATCTATTTTGTTGTAAAACAGTTTCATTTAACCTGAACCAAAAGATTTAATACAATTTGCAATAAAAACGGCAGCTTTTATATTTTAAAAAGCAATAGTTATTGAAATCAACTTGGGTTGCATAAACATTTTCTTTATTATACTTTGACAATAGAACTGATTATTACATTACAAATTACAAACTGATTTCCAATAATCATTATTACTTCAGATCAATGTTGGTTGCATAAGATCAGAATATATAAAAAAATGATATTTCAACAATTTATGAATTAGGTAGTTGGCAACAAAACTAAATTCGCATTTTCTTACATAATACCAACCTCCAAAAACTTAAGACAAAATTTACTTTTATCTATTTTGTTGTAAAACATTTTCATTTAACCTGAACCAGAAGATTTAATACAATTTGCAATAAAAACGGCAACTTTTAGATTTTAAAAAGCAATAGTTATTGAAGTTAACTTGGGTTGCATAAACATTTTGATGGAAAAAAGTGAATAATACGTATTTAATATATTTACACAAAACTAGTTCTTTATTATACTTTGACAATAGAACTGATGATTACATAACAAAAGCAAACTGATTTCCAATAATCATTATTACTTCAGATCAATGTTGGTTGCATAAGTTCAGAATATATATAAAAAATGATATTTCAACAATTTATGATTTTGGTAGTTGGCAACAAAAGTAAATTCGTATTTTCTTACATAATACCAACATCCAAAAACTTAAGACAAAATTTACTTTTATCTATTTTGTTGTAAAACAGTTTCATTTAACCTGAACTAGAAGTTTGAACACAATTTGCAATAAAAACCGGCAACTTTTAGATTTTAAAAAGCAATAGTTATTGAAGTCAACTTGGGTTGCATAAACATTTTGATGGAAAAAAAGTGAATAAGACGTATGTATTATATATACAAAACTAGTTCTTTATTATACTTTGACAATAGAACTGATGATTACATTCCAATGATAATTATTACTTCAGATCAATGTTGGTTGCATAAGGTTTGGTGGTTGGTCTTCTGGTTATGGATTACTTAATTTAAATGATATTTCTTAGAAATCAAGGAATGGATGAGGAGAGGTTGTAAAAGATAAAACTAAATGTTAAAGCTGCAAAATATATTATAAAATTCCATTCGATGGAAACTTGTTGTAAGTGTAAAACGTCTCGTAGTTGTCGTCGTAATGCTTCTTCAGATCAAGACCCAGCCTATCGCTGGCCATGTACGCAGCCCCAACAGCAATCGTGGTCTTGATCTTCAACAAAGACAACTTCTCCACAACAGTCTGCCGTTCCAGCTGCTCCAGAAAACCATCCTTGAGCAACTCCCAACTGTACCACACGGATCCCACGCACAAGATCTGCAGACCACCTTCCCTCTCCTTCAGTTCTTTGGCAGCGTTTGATGCAACGGCTGTAATCCCTTTAGCGAGATGAACACCAGCTCGTCGGAAGATATGCTGCGAGAGTTCATCTCCGTTCCTTGCAGCATCAGCCAACTTCTTGCAGAGCGAAGCCATAAAAGCTTTATCGAATTTCGTGTACATGTGATCCAGAAGATCAACACTCGTCTCGACCTTAAAATGGTCCTTAGTCAGATTCCAAGCCGTTTTTATAGAGTACGGACTCTTCTCGAATCCATCCATCGAGTCTATGCAGTATTTTATTGCTGTGTGGGCGATTTTCCATGCTGAAAACGAACATATATTTAATCTGGTGAAACCGAGCATGTGCATCCATTGCTGATTACGTGTGCTAAAAATAGGACACGGACAGACGTATAATTTTTTTTATTTTGTTATTCACGCGACAAAACTGTTACAATGCAAAAGACAAGTCTCAAAGGCCGATTTTAATGTCGTTTCTTTTTTTTATTTATTTACTTTGAGGAGAACGCAACATGAATTTCAATTGGATTTCGATGCATTTAGTTTAATTTCAGACGTGCTTTAACATTTAATTGCAAGTCGAACGAATAAAAAATAAATGAAATTGGAAAACCAACTCAAGTTCCAATTAAGATATAGATTAAATACGACATTTTTTAAGAAATTTTATCTTTAATTAAGTTAAATTAATAAATTTTCTTTCATATGAAAAAAGAATTTTTGAAATTGATTGAGTAATAACTGAAATATTAAGTAAAGGGCCAGATGCGGCCCGCGGGCCGCAAACAACCGTAGTTTATGTGAATTTATATTACCACTGCCTTCATCTCCAAGCATGTAACCGTATCCTCCGCATTGGTACTTGGAACCATCGGGATTGATCAGAAGCGTGTTGGATCCAGTACCGGCGATGCATGTAATACCACCGTTCGCGGAAACCGCTGCTATGCTACCATCCGTGTCGCTACTGGCAACGCACAGCGAACAAACATTCGGGTAGTTCTTCCTCAATCCATCGGCCAGCTCGATGTTCGTCTCTTCCTTCTCGCAACCGCTCAAACTCAAACCCTGTCCAACATCTCAACCATTAAGTTTACCAGTTTTTTTTTTAAACATCTTTCAGTTAATTTACCAATGCTTTCAGAGGTGTCCCTTTCGGGATTCCCGCAGCCAATTTGGTGTCCTCCACCATCTGAGCGATCCTCTTCCAGCATTCTTCCATTGAAAGCAGGAAATGATTGGTGCCAGGACCATTGCCTTTCGCAATTATTTTACCTTCTGAATTAAGAAGTACTATTGTGGAATGCGTAGCTCCACTACAAAAAAAAACAAATATATCACTACAAATCATAATTATTATAAAACTAATACTATTTGCAACGAAAACTGTAAGATTTGTTAATAAAATTCGATACGCCATCTATGATTCATCTATGTAAACAAAATATTTTTTTCATTATTTCCATCCTTCGATTAATTTCTACTAGGAAACGTAATAAATTTTACGTATTCCAATTTATCAGGATTTCCTGTACTTTATCTAATATTACGCGTTTTTTTCGCAATCAATACTTTTTTTTTCTCTCGTTAATCTTATCTAACGATTTATCGATTGCTACAAACGTTTGGTTTGTCACGGACACAAAGGTCTTTTTTGATTCCCTCAAAGCCAGGTGAATCATGATATAAAAAAAATTGAATGAAACGAGTTTCTGTATTCAAAAATGGAATTCGCTATTTACGTCATTCGTACAAAGAAAAACTTATATTTGGAATCTCATTCAAGGAAAACTCAAGTGCTAGTTATAATGATAATAAATTATTTAAATAAAATTTCGAATTTTAAGGGATTCCCCTAGGTAATGTTCTAGGTCCTCTTTACTTAAAATTTAGTTTTAAAGTAATTTCAAGTTGCTAGAATCTCAATTTTAACTTGTCCTAATTCTATTTTGTTAGTAAATAATTAATATTTATGAGTTTACGATGAAGAAATGTGCATTCACTTTCTTCGATTTTTGTGTGTGTGTGTGTGTCCTTGATGGAATACCGTGTGCAACGATACGAAAACGACCGAAATATTGTATTGGTCAATGAGAAGAGAAGAGTCCGAGTTATTGGAGCGCGGAGATGAGAGGAAAACGAATTAGAAACGCGATTGAAGGAGTAGAAGGAATGTGTGTGTGTGTGTGTATGTTGTGGAACTTTTCCTTCGTCTCCGTGAACGAGGTTTCATTCGGCCTTCGGGAAGGTGGGTCATTAACCAACGTTGAATTAATGTTAAATTCCTTTTTCGGATCGGAATGTAAACCGAATTAAAAAATAAATAAATAAAGAAGTACTGAACAGTGCAACAACTTTTACTATTCAGGAAACCGATGAAGAACACGTGGGCTGCGCTCGCAGCTATTATCCAATTACCGCTCATCCAAATTCCGTTCAATTGATCTCTTCCTCATTCGTACTATTAGTCTAAAGATCATTATCAAAGTTAGAAACAAAAAATATTAGTTATTGAAGACAATTATTTTTTTTTTAATAAATTTTAATTAACTTTAAAGACATGATTATATACCTAAAATTAACAAGAAAACTTTGTAACAAAAACTAAAGATACAAATAGTAAGAAATATAAATAGATTTGTCTTAAAAATTTAAGAAACGCCATCTATGATTTAAATATTTAACTATTCTTCTCTTGTCAATTTAAATATAATAAAATTTGTAAAAAGTAAATCATCAAATTAAGTACTTAATTTTTTTAATTAAATTAAAGATTTGCAATAACAAATTTTATAGTTAAAAAATAAACAACAAAAAGTACATAAGTTCGCTTTTTAATAACGTTCTTTTTGTTAACATTTATGGTTGTAATTATGTATTATTACTAGCCTATGTTTGCATTTTGCGGTTTTAGTTATATACTAGATGCGAAAAACGGGATTGCAAATGATCCCATTCATTATGCAAAAGATAACGAACGATGTTTGTTTCACAAACAACTTGTCGAGATTCAAGTGCGCAAATAGCGATACCATTGATACAACAACGAGAAACAAACATTACACTACGTTGGTTACCGTTTACATTGGACTTAAACAATTTTTTTCATTAAAGTTGTCGAGAATAAAGCCATTAAGATAATTATTACTTATAATTAATAAAATACTAATAAAATATTGACGTTAATTCGATGCAAAATATATTGAAAATCCATTACCTAGGTTACAAAAATAACGAATTTATGTAACCTAACAACCAATTATTTTTATTTATTTTTGTCTGTTAAATAGAAACAAAAATTTTGTTACAAATTACAAGTAAATGTTTTAAATTTGAATTTTGTAGTTTATTGGCAATAATTTTTACATTAGGACCTAGAATGGAACCTTTAGGTACTCCAATTCAACTATTAGTGTTTTATATCAAGCTGAAGTTAATTGAAGTTCTTTGTTATAATAAACAAGCATATGTTACACATGAAGAACGAAATTTGCGGAAAGTTTGTTCACTTTGTGCAGAACCTGAGTGCCTCCAACGATAATAACCGGTCAATGTTACAATCGAAAGTGTCGTGAGTTGTTGTTTAAATGTCAACTTGTCGTTGAGTTGCAGCAGCAGGAAGGAGAGAAGGCATTCCTAACTATAGAGCCTTACCCTTCGATTCCACCGATCACATACATGTCGAACGTCCCTCAACTCTTCAGCTGGAAGATTGCAGCTACCACCTACAGTTTCACGAACGAACTATATACTATACTATACACACAAAACAACTGCACACGCGACGGCGTCTCGGACTTGAATGAAAAGAGAGTCGAGGTCCGATCGTAGGACGCCTCTACAAAATTGACCTCCACGCATGTGGAATGGTGGAGAGACCATCGAAAACCATCCGCAAATCATATTGCCATGAAATTCGTGGAATGTTGCAAATTATATGGTGGAAGGATCTGAAAACAGATGAACAATAGAAGATAACAAATACCTGCGTCCAACAGCTGACAGTGTTTGCCTTCTGTCAGGTCAGTCAGCTGATGGATATTTAGAGATTGTGAATTGTAGTAGGCAACTGCACGAACATAGTCATACAACCAGAAATATATTATGCAGAAATAAGTAGAAAATACATTTTCATATTGATCATACTTGTTACAATTAAGTTATAGAACAGCCGCTTGCCGTTATTATTTTAGCAATAAGCAACTACACTGTAGAAATTAATCCAAACTGTGTTAAAAGTTACTTAATATTGTGTATTTCTCATTATTTTTTAATAGTTACATCTGCTAATGATCTTTTTAACTATACAAAAGTCATTTAACGCAAATATTTTCAGTTTACTTCGAAATGTAGTCCGATTTTTTTTATGTATATTTTCTTAAATTTTTCACATCAATATGTTGTAAACGTAGAAGTTTAAATTTGTCCATAAAGAAAGTGACTTTTGTTTAAATATTTAATTTTCGAATGATTTACATAAATGACATATGTCAAAAATACTTTATAATGATAGTTATATAACTAAATTTAAATTTGACAGCTGTCAAAATAATTATGTTTACAAAATAGTGTATAAAATTGAAGGGTGAAAATGAAATTTTAATTATAATTTTATGATTTTAAGCTGTTTTATATTTTAACTGTTTTTTTTACAATTAATTATAATGATATATTTCTTAATTTGACAGCTCAAGTTTGGATATGTTTATGGATGCACGCATGATACTAGACTAAGTAATCTTTATTGTTTGTATTCTGTTTTAAAATTATCATATCTTTCTTAATCCTAATCAACAATGGCATTCTTTCAAGAGCAACAAATCACAAAACTTGGTGAAGGAAAATGGATCTTATTCGTAACATCATGTTATATTATATGGGTGAAACGTAAAAAAAATGCAAAAAAAAAAACAAATTTATTTTTGATCAGAGGTCGTCGGTTCTTTGAGCTCCTCGTTGATCTGAGTAAGGGAGCCGTGGACTTGGGGCATCTCAACGAGTACGGGTGGAATTGCCTGGATGCTACCATCCTCTTCGGCAACGCCCAAACCTATCGTCGCTCCGATCTTCGCGGAGGCGTGACTGAAGGTGTCGCTTAATTTAACTTGAACGACGTTGATACACATAGACATGAGGGCTAAGCCGAAGACGAGGTACACGATGGAGACGATCATGAAGACAGGATGACGAGGAACGTAGTCGCCGAAACCGATGGTGGACATCGAAATGAAGACGAAGTAGAAGGACGTGAAGAAGTCCCAGTGCTCCCAGATGCAGAAAAGCACAGCGCCGAGAAAGATGTAGAGGACGAGGAGGAGGATGGCCAAGGAGATGGGAAGATTGAATTCGTCGTCTATCTCGAAGTTGGAGATGGCAGGTGTTGGAGGAGCGGTGTTGCTGCCTTCGGTTCCGTCCTGATTCTGCATGCTCGGATCGAAGGCCGAAGGTCGTCGAAATCTTGCAATGTCGTACATCATCTGAGCTCCTTTGAAGATTTCCTAAAAGAAAAATTATATCATCAATTAATCTAATTTAATTTAAAGTATATTATAGTCTTAAATTCTGTATATTTACCTGAACTTGTGCTTGTTTCCTGACATTCCTGCAGCTACCGGTATAGTAAACCCTCCGCACGAAAGACCACAAGAATTTGATGCATCTGGTGAAGAGTTTACCGAAATCTGTGAGGATGATCAAGAACAGCGGAATTCCGATGAGCGAATAGACTATGGTGAGAGCTTGTCCTGTCGTTGTAGTCGGATAGAGATGACCGTATCCTGCAACAAAAACAAACAAAAAAACAATAAATTCAACCCATTCCGAAGATTGGCAAAAACAAACAAATCATCCTCAACCTATGGTCGTGACGATGGTGAGACAATAAACGATTCCATTCAGAAAACTCCAGGACTTCTGTCCACTGTACGAATGTACTCCGGCTTCGTGCGCCGCGTGAAGCTCGTCCTCGAAATTCCTCAGCTTATTCCTCGCCAGTGATTTCCACTCGTCTTCGCGCAAATTGTGACTCTTCACCCACAACATCTCGACGAAATCGCGCTTCACGCGTTTAACTCCACACTTGTAGAAGCTCTCGAAAGCGCCTTCCGTGAACTTGAAGACTATACCTCCCAACCCGCAGAAAATCAAAAGGATTAGTAGATGACTGAAGCATTTTCTACGGTACATCCTGATTTTGTTGTACTCGACGGCAAAGTCTTTTTTGTATTTTCTGTATTCGGAGAAGATTTCGCGAATCGAGTAGAAACGGAAGATCTTGAAGACGTCTCTGACACGCATATGGGTGACTTCCCCTACGTCTTTGGTGGCTATGACTTTGGAGGTTTTAGGATCGAGGATTTCAACGATTTTATTCGATTTGATACCTTGGTGTTTTTTGGTCTTCGGTTTGATTACTATGGGTTTTTGTTTTCGATTAGGTCGTTCCGGAGATTCGCTTGCTGATGAGTAACGACCTGCTGATTTTGAACGTTCTTTTTCTCTTAAAGCCGTTTGGATTTGAGCTCTTTTGAAGCTCTCGAGAAGATCCTCTTCGGTTAATTGTCTTGGGGTGGAGCGGCTTCTCTTGAGAGGTTCTTTTTTGTTGAAGCGTTTCTTCCGCAACTCCTTGCCTTTTTCTTCGACAGTACTTTTGGCCTTCTCGAGGAAGCCTATAAGATCTTTGGTGTTGCTCGAAACGAAGTTATCCAATTTCGATAGTTGCTCTTCGAATTGCCTGGGTAGACTTGCGCTTCGCTCGGAGTGGTATTTGATGGAGGATTTCCTGGAAAGGCTTCCTTCTTTCGAATCCGCCGTTTTCCTTCTGATTCTCCTAGGTTTCTTGCGTTCCTCCTCCTTGAAACTGGAGTCCGTCGTCTTAGGTTTATCGTCTTCACGCGAGGAAGGACAACTCGAATCGCTTATCATCTTATTGTTCGGCTTCGGTTCGTCCTCCTTCGGTTTATCACTCGCGAATACCTTTCGTTGCGGTCGTTCGGGAAGTCTCGTAGCTTCATCCTCAACATCATCATCCTCCTCCTCACTCGAGGTCGTTCCAATAGGAGCGACGGCATCTCGAACGGGCGTCTTCGAGCGTTGCTTAGAGCTGGAACTCCTCTTCCTCGCAATAGTCCTTCTTCTTCGCGCCACATTGGCACTTAACACCTGCTCAGGTGTGACGAGGGCTTCGATGTTTTTGATCGCATCCTCTTCGGTCGTTTCTGCTGCTGATGTAGCAGATGTTTGCAGCGTATCCATGCTTTCGAGACTAAAGCTATTTTTGGAGCGCTCCACCCGAGATCCCGGACCGAAATCGCATTTAGTACAGGTCGAACGTTCCTAGCTGTCACTGCAATGTTCGAAAATATAAATAGGAAAGACTTCGCTCCGCTTTCTCTCTCTCTCTCTCATCCTCTTCCAAAATACCTTCGAGAGGAAGAAACCGAAAAACAGCACTCTCTCAAAAATAAATAGCAAAAGTTAATTTTAATCCTCTTCTTATATTTTTTCTTTCTTATTATTATTTCTTCTTCTTCTCGTTTTACTTCTTTTTTTTTTATTATTTTAGGTTGGTCACAGGTTGGCACATTTTTGGCAACGTAGGCGCGCATTCTTTCCCGAAAGATTGCCGCGATGACGGGGAGCACGAATTCCATTTGAACGATTCCTCCAGAATAAACATGTTCTGCCGCAGCTGTTGATCTCTTTCATGCAACATTTCTGCACGAATAATTGATGCGCTTCAATCGGTTCTGCGACGATGACTGATGCAGATGCAGCAGCAGCAACAGCAAACAAATCCGATCGGCCGTAAATCAAAATCCGGAGACGGCTTTTACTGCTTCGACGATTTATTTTTGGGAAACCGCGAATTGCGACTATTTTTAATATTGGTCATAACAGTTTCTGGTTACATTACAAGATATCTTTTAATACGCATGCATAATATTAAAAAAAAAACGACATAATTGTGTACAGTTAAAGAAAGTTACCTGAAACCAAATTATTATTGTTTCCTTATTGGTTTTAGTAGGTTTGTAACATGTCACTAAATTTAAACGTCAACTGTCAGCTGTCAATGAATACAACTATATTTCAACTGTCAATATTAGCTGTCAATTTATAACGTATACTATGCACAGTCATTAAATTTCATTATTAAGTTTGTAAGAATCAAGTTAACTAAATTCTAATCCATTAATAAATAATTCAAATATAAAGACACATATGTTTATGGCTCGTGTGTGAACGCTTTCCTTTCAACACTAAATATTGACGCCGTTGTTTACTGCAGCACAATTTACACGACAATCGGTGAGTAATCATATTTCTTAATTTTAGATGATCTAAAAAAAATGGATCAATTTAAAGATGAACTAAAGATGATTCATCCGCTTCAGTCGTAAACTCTTGCCAACTTTCTGTAGCAAATTAGCGCCGATGAATTTACGAGTGTCAATGTCGTAAACGTCAGATTTGATTTAGTTTTTGGGGAGTGTTGAAGCGTGTGGTTCTAGAAGTCTTGTTTATGGGCAGTAATATGCAAATTCTCTTTGTCATCGTCGTTTTTGTTGTTGTAATGAGGTTTTTGGAATTAATTAGGCGTTGAACGTAGAATGCTTTTGTTTCTGTGCCAATTTTATGGTATTAAAATATCAATGATGGCTTACTTAGCAGATTGTTAGGTCGATAATGAACTTCCAGAGGTTTTGGTGATTCGATGTTAATGGACTGTTTTTATTGCGTTTTCACGTGTTTTCACTCGTAATTGCTGCA